GCCCGGCCCGGGTTGCCCCCCGCATCCCTGGCTGCCCTCCCCAGCCCAGCCCGGCCCAGCTGCCGGCCAGCCGTAGCGTGCGCGGGGGAAGGGACGCCGCCTGTGCTGCTGCCGGTGCCAGCCGCCTGACCGGCTGGGGTGCCGGGCACGGGCAGAGCGCGCAGGTGGGCGGCGCACCAGCCGCACTCGCCGGGACCCCCCGGGGGCTGCCCGGGCCGCCAGCGGAACCAGCTCACCTTGGCCAGAGCCTCCTCCTGCCGCGGGCTCAGGTCCCCGACCCGGCCGCTCATGGTGCCTCAGGAGTCCGAGCCTCCGGCGCGCTCAGGGGGTGTCCGGACCCACTCTCCCGCCGCCCCCCGCGGCCCAGTCCCAGCCTTTTTGCCCGGCCGCGGGGGCCCGGTGCCAAGCGCCGCCCCTTAAAGGGGCCGGGCAGCTGCGAGAGGGGGAGGCGGACGGGCACGGGGGAGCGGGGCAGGCCCAGCTCCCCAAACCGTAGGACGTCACGCTGGAAGGAACGTCGGGGATCAGCTAGCCCGGCCCTCTCATCTCGCAGGAGGAAACCGGAGAAGCCCAGAGACAGGCAGCGGCTTGCCGAACGTCACAGAGCCAGGACCCGAGTGGGTCCGCGGGGCCCCTGGGGCCCCCACGCCCCTCGCCTGGGAGCTGCTGCTGCTGCCGCCGCTGTCCCTGCCCCAGTCCTAGAGCCGGAGGGACCCTCGGAGGCCATTAACCCCCGCCCCCCAACACACACATTTTACAGAGGAGGAAACTGAGACCTCCTCCAACCTCTGTTACTGCCAGACTGGGTGACTTGGGGAGAGTCAAGTCACTTCTCAGGCCAAAGGTCCCACTTGTGATTAACTAGGGAGGGGGGGTGGAAGCACAACCTCTGTGGGAGGCAACGGGAGGGGAGCCTGGAATCAGGAAACCCTTGCCTCAAGCTTCCTCATCCATAAAACGGGGATAATAATAGCACCTACCTCACAGGGTTGTAAAGTGGCTGTCGTTTTTTAGTTATGTCTGATTCTTTGTGACCCCACTGGGGTTTTCTTGGCAAAGACACTGGAGCGGTTTTACCATTTCCTTTTCCAGTTCATTTTCCAGATGAGGAAACTGAGGCAAGCAGGGTGAAGTGACTTGCCCAGCCAGTAAGTGACTGAACTCAGGACTTCCTGACTCCCCTGCACCACTTAGGTGCTTAATAAATGCTTAGAGTCCTGAGGAATTAGGTTGGAAACCTGGCCCTACTTGTGTCACCTAACCTAGGAAGAAGTCACCTAAACTCCCTGGGCCTCAGTTTCCTCGTCTGTAAAATGGGCCTGTCAGACCACTTCCACCTCTACATTCTATGAGATGTACCGTGGCCTTGGTTGGCCTTTAGCTTCCTCTGCCCCAGGATTTTCTCTCTCTTTTTTCTTCCCATCCTTTTAAGGTGGTCCTGGTCCTTAAATCTGACCTTCTTCCCTTACCAACCACTCCCTAGATCCCATAAAACCCAGCCTGAGCTGGGAAGGATCTGTAGGCCATCTAGTCCCACCCGTCATTTTATGGAGAAACAATCTAAGGCCCAGAGCAAGGGATTGAGGCTCCCTGGCAAGCTGGTGGCAGAGGCAGAGCCTCAGTTTCTCCACTAGCTCAGGCCCCACTCCCACCCCCCAGACTCTGGACAGTGAAGTGG